CAGCCCCCCGCACACCCGCCCGCCGCTTCCCGCACCCACCTGCGGGCGGACGCGCCGCCCCCCGCGCCCTCCCCCTCGCGCAGCGCTGGGCACCGGCACCAGCGACTGGCACCGGCACCGGCACTCGGCAGCAACACCGGCACCGGCCCCGGCACGGGGCAGCGGCACCAACACCGGAGAGCGGCACCGGGCACCGACACGGGCACCGGGCAGCAGGTACCGGGTGGGGTAGCGCACCCCACCGTCACCACCGCAGCCGGGGGCGGCGGCGGCGGCAGCGGGATGGCCGCGGCTCGGAGGGGAGCGGGGGACGCCAGTCCCGGCGGGAGCGGGGGAGAACCGGCGCCCGGGTGTGCCCCGCGTCCGAGGGGTCCCCGCGGGAAGGGGCCGTGGGCAGCTCACGGGCGGGGAGCGGCACCGTGGGCGCCTTTGGGAGGGGCTGGGAGCAAGGCGAGCTCTGCCCGCAGGTCCAGGGGCCGCAGGATCCCCACGGACGACAAGGAGGGGAGGGGAAGGGCCGGGAGGCTTGTGCCCTCTCCAGGGGCACTCTGGGGGCACCGGCTGCTCGCGGCTCCAGGAACACTCTGAGCAGTGAGGCAGGGAGCAGGGGACAGCAGGAGTGGGTGGCAGGGGGCCAGTGGGGCGGCAGAAGCAGGGGGCAGGGGAATCACAATAGACAGCAGGACTGTGGCTGGTCTGCTTCCCCCCGGCAGCGAGGAAGGGGAGATCCCGGCTCCAGCCCAGGAAGCTGTCAGGGAAGTTCACACAGTCTCCAGTGGGCTTCGTGCTGCAGCCCCCCAGACACGGCAGGCGGGTGGAGACCCTCAGAAGCTTTCTGATCTCCTGGGGAAACCAAGGCATCCGGGCGGCCGCCTGCACAAGGTGGGTGGACACGGCCTCAGGGACGCTGGGGTGCGGGGCAGTGCCCAGAGCGTGGCATCCCAGGAAGGCAGGGACAAAGCAGTGGGGCTCACCTCTTCTCCCTGGTTCCCCCCACAGCCACCACTGCCGTCACCCAGCGGGAAGCAGCAGCCATGGATGAGGTGACGGAGCTGGAGCTGGGGGGCAACTCCCTCCTGAAGGCCGTGTGGCTGGGCCGGCTGCGGCTGACCCGGCTGCTGCTGGAGGGGGGGGCTTACATCAACGAGAGCAACGACAAGGGGGAGACAGCGCTGATGGTGGCCTGCATCACCACGCACGTCGACCAGCAGAGCATCCACAAGGCCAAGATGGTGAAGTATCTGCTAGACAACAGAGCCGACCCAAACATCCAGGACAAGTCTGGGAAAACCGCCCTCATGCACGCCTGCATCCGAGGGGCTGGGGGGGACGTGGTGTCCCTGCTGCTGGAGAGCGGGGCAGACCCCAGCCTGGAGGACCACTCAGGAGCCTCTGCGCTGGTCCACGCCATCAATGCCGAGGACAAGGCTGTGCTGCAGCACCTCCTGAATGCCTGCAGAGCCAAGGGGAAAGAGGTGATCATCATCACCATGGACACATCAGCCTCTGGCACCAAGACGGCCAAGCAGTACCTGAACGTTGCCCCTGCGCTGGAGTTCAAGGAGAAGGCTCCCCTCGAGGAGAGCACAGCCCCCTCCAGTGCCCACCTGAAAACTCCTGTCTCAGCACCTTCCCCTGCTGAGAAGGAGAGCAGCAATCTCACCCCACAATCTCACGCTGGGGACACTGGGCCACCCTCCCCAGGCCAGAGAGCTGGCACTGCCAGGAGAGCCCACCTGCCCCGGCTGAAGCGACTGCGGTCAGAGCCGTGGGGCCTGGTGGCACCCTCGGTGCTGGCGGCCTCCGGTCACCGCGACGACACGCGGGCCTGCGCTGACAGCGAGGTCATCACGGGCATCGGCGACCTCTCGCTCTCCAAAAAGCCCCCCCTCACCCGGAGCAGCAGCAGCAAGGGAAGGGACCCCTCTCTCTTCCCGCCCGTGGATGAGCAGGCGCTGGGGCCACTGGCATGGAAAGCCACGCACGAGAAGAGCCCAGGCACCCACCCGTGCCTGTCCCGGAGCAGCACGGTCCCGGAGGAGCTGGAGAGCACCGGCACGGCCGCCAGCTCAGCTGCAGGGAGGGACACCCCGCACTGGTGGAGGCCGGGCAGCGAACACGACGGGGACTCGCAGGTCACCGAGGCGGGGAAGGGGCCGCCCGAGCGGCGGAGGCTGAGCGGGTCCCAGCTGGCCCTGCTGGATGGCTGCTGGGACTCTCCCTCCGGCAGCACCAGCACATCGCCCAGCTCCGGCCGGCGCCGGCCACCCGGCTTGCTGGAGAGGCGAGGATCCGGGACCCTGCTGCTGGACCACATCTCCCACACAAGGCCGGGATATCTGCCCCCCTTGAACGTGAACCCCAACCCCCCGATTCCCGACATTGGCTCCAGCAAAGCCCCCTCCCCGCTGGCTGCTGGGCTGAAGCCGCTGGTACCCCTCACACCCAGCTCGCCCAGGCGGGGCGATCTGAGAGCCCACAGGAAGCTCCTCCGCAGACATTCCATGCAGGCAGAGCAGATGCGGCAGCTCTCCGATTTTGAGGAGGTCGTGGCGCAGTAGCCGTGCCACCATTTGTTCACAGGGAGGTGGCCAAAGCCGTGCTGTCCCCGCAGAGACGGGACGGTTCCCACACAGAGTGGGCACTGGCTCCGGGGACACACGGGTGGCCAGGGGCACTCAGCCCTGAGCCCAGGGGCTGAATCGCGAGCGGGGTGATCGGGAGATCGATCCCCCGCCGTCCTAGATCGCCAAGCTCCGTGCCAGGGATCCCACCCGCGGTTCACTTACTCATCACTAGCTTCGATCCGCTTTTCTCACATCCTGCTCGTTCTCTCACCGAATCCCGTCCCGGAGCCCCCGGTGGTGACCCCTGGGGCCGAGGCGTTCATGAAGTGCCTTCCAGGAGGGGAAGGGGCTCGGTACGGCGGGGGTTCGAGGGGCGGAACACCGTTGCAGCCGCGGACCGTGTCGGTGCTCGCCCGGAGCGGGAGAGGGAGACAACGCTCCACCACCGAGATTCCCGAGCGCGCCGGAGCCCCGGCGGCCGAGCTCACCCGGCACCGCTGCAGCCTCGGCTGCGGGCCGGGACGGGCTTGTCTCGGCTCCGAAGGGTCTGAACTTCACGCGGTTCATTCCCCGCCACGCCGAGGAGCTCTGGATTCAGGAAGCGCCGAATCCCCCGAGCAGGATGGTCCCAGCCCGGCGGCACGGGATCGTCCGCCAGCGGCGGGGAACCCGGGATGCCAAGTCACCGAGGGTGCCACGGGCTGACCCCAGGGCTTCATCCCGCCGGGAAAGTCGCAGGCACCACGGCAGGGCCAAGACCCCGCGGGGCCGCAGCCCCACGGCTCAGCCCACGCACGCCGGGCCGCGGGCCGGCCGTGTGCCGCGGCTGCCGGCAGATCCACGAATGCGTTTGTTCACGAGCCTGCGTGTGCGCAGGGGGGCAGGGGCAGGGGTGGGTGACACCGTGCTCCTGCGGAGACTTCTGCACTGGTTTCGCACTGCATTAATAAAGCGCTCAGCTTTGGACGGAGGCTGATCTCGCGTGGGGCGGACACCAGCCGCCCGGCCAGGGCGCCCCGGGAGCGCCGAGAGGGCGGCCGGGGCTCCCGGAGCGCTCGGCCCGGAGATGCCGGGGGGCTCCCAGGGTGCCGGGGTCGGCGGGACGTTCCCGGGATCCCCGCGGGTGCCCGCCCCGGGGCCGGAGGCGCCGCCCGCGCCCCGCCCCGCCCCGCCCCGCCCCGCTCGCAGCGGAAGCGCCACGTCAGGGGGGCGGTGCGGGGGCGGTGCGGGGCCGGTGCGGGTCGCGATACCGGGCTCGGTGCGGGTCCCGGCGCGGATCGTGGTGCCGGGCTCGGTGCGGGTCGCGATACCGGGCTCGGTGCCGGGCTCGGTGCGGATCCCGGGCCCGGCTCGGTGCGGGTCTCGGGGCCGGGTGCGGTGCGGGTCGCGATGCCGGGCGCGGTGCGGACCCTGTGCCTGGCCGCGCTGCTGGGCGCGCTGGGAGCCGGCGGCACGGAGCTGACGCTGGAGCTGCCCGACAGCGCCCAGCGCTGCTTCCACCAGGAGCTGGAGAGCGGCGTCAAGTTCACCCTGGACTATCAGGTACTGCCCTGCCTGTACCTTCCTGCAGATGCTCCGTGCCTGCACCCCCTGCCCAAAACCCTGCCGGGGCCCCCTCCGCCCCTGCCCCGGTTGTGCCCCATCCCTGTGCCCCTGCCCATGTCGTGCCCGTGTGCCTGCCTGTGTCACGATGCCCGTGCCCCCTTGCCCGCACCCCTGCCCACGTGTGTGCTGCTGCCTCTGCCCATGCCACCTGCCTGTGCCTCTCCCCACACTCCCATTCTGCGCCCTGCAGAGCCCCAGGCAGGGCTGCAGTTCCACCCCAGCTCCCTCCATGCTGCACTAGGAGTTGTTCCCAACCCCAGCCTGTGCCCATCAGGGCCTGAGAGCCAGGCCTGGGATGTGGCCACATCAGTCGTGGACAGCCCTGACCTGGGTCATGAGGGCTGTCCCTGTCTCCAGACACCCCACTTGAGCCATGGGCACTCCACCTGAGTTGCTGGCACTGTGGTGCACAACTTCCCCAGGGCTCCCCTGGCCTGGGCCCCATCCCATGGGCATGATGCCCACTGGCCTCTCATACAGCTGTGGGGCTGGGCAGGGGACCCTTGCCACGTTGCTTGGAGTGTACCACCATTGGAGATGTATCTCCGTCTGCAGGTGATCAGCGGAGGGCACTACGATGTGGACTGCTACGTGGAGGACCCCAATGGCAAGACCATCTACCAGGAGACCAAGAAGCAGTACGACAGCTTCTCGCACCACACCGAGGTCAAGGGTGTCTACACCTTCTGCTTCAGCAACGAGTTCTCCACCTTCTCCCACAAAATTGTCTACTTCGACTTCCAGGTGGGCGACGAGCCGCCCATCCTGCCCGACATGAACAACCGCGTCACTGCCCTGACACAGGTGGGTCCCGGCAGGGAGGGAGGGAGGAAGGGCCCTGTCACAGCCCCAAGTAGCCTTGCGGGATGGCAGTTGGGGACTTGTCCCCGTCCTCCTCCACTGGATGCAGAAGTGCCAACCGCCAGCCAACAACCCCACCACACACCACATCCTCTGCCTGGGTCGGGGGGGCTGTGCTGGCTCTGGGCTCCCCTCTCTGCAGCAACCCGTGCCCATCCCACATGAGGGAATTGCATCAGCCATTCTGTCCCTTGGTGTGAGCTCTGGGCTGGGCACCCTCGTGGGCCTCTCAGCTCTGTCCCAGTGGGGAACCCCCTGGATGGGTTCTGGCAGGAAACCTACGGTGCAGACACTGCTCTTGAGTCCTGCTCTCGAGTGTTCTGGCACGGGCCTGGGCTCCCTCAGCTGTGCCATGTCAGAAGCGACAGGGCGCTCTCGTCCTTGTCCCCCAGCTGGAATCGGCCTGTGTCACCATCCACGAGATGCTGAAGGCGGTGATCGACTCCCAGACCCACTACCGGCTGCGGGAGGCGCAGGACCGGAGCCGAGCTGAGGAGCTCAACGGGCGCGTCTCGTACTGGTCAGTGGGGGAAACCCTCATCCTCTTCATGGTCAGCATCGGGCAGGTGATGCTGCTCAAGAGCTTCTTCACCGAGAAGAGACCCGGCAGCGGCGGAGCCGGCACCTAGAGCTGCTGTGTCTGTGCCTGATGCAGCAGGCAGGGCTGTGCTGTGCCTCTCACCTGTGCCGAGGGCGGGCGGGGGGTGGGAGCAGGGGTGACACTGCTGAGCTGGGTGACACAGCCACCCAGGCACAGGCGTCCCCCAGCATCACCTCCCACCCTCCATCGCCCGGCCTGCCCTGCCCCTCGCCTGGCCACGCTGTCCCCGTTCTCTGGCCGCACTGGACGCAGGTGGGACCAGCCCTGGGGCAAACAGTGACTGTGATGTGAGCGCCATGGTCCCCGCCCCTGCCCCTGGAGCCCTGCGCAGCCACCGAGGGCAGGGGCAGCGCTGGCCCACCTGGCACCCCCAGTGCCCTCAGCCCAAGGAGAGCTGCCCGTGGGCTGGGGGTCTCTGTGCACCCCAGCTGTCCTGCGGCGGGCAGGGTGCTCCCAGCAGCAGGGCAGCAGCAGCAGCAGCATCCAGCAAGGGAAGGCTTTTTGCTGCGTGCTCCTCTGCCTCTACCAGTTCCTCCCCTCGCAGCAGTTCTCAGGCTGGCAGCAGGTGGTGTGCCCATACCAGGTGGTGTTTTATACTCACAGTCCGTGCCTGAGACTCAGCCCCCTCACACGTTCCCCCCACCCCGTGGACACGTGCCAAGGAAGCCCCATCCCTGCCCCAGAAGCAGAGGACCTGCACACACCTGGGACTGCAGCCCCTCATCCCCTGGAGCCCCCACAAGACCCCTGGAGCAAACGGTGTGCTGGCCTTCCAGCCCTCAAGCAGGTGTGAGATCATTTTTCAGTGCTGAAGCAACTCTACATGACTTTTCCTTTGCCACTCTCAAATAAATTCCTGCAAGCATGGCTGGCACTGCTGTTGCTGGGCACAGTTTCTGCCTGCCCTCCTGCCTGCACCAGCTGGGCTTGCTCCTGGGCAGGAGCAGGTACTGGAGCCAGAGCCCCACGGCAGGAGCAGCAGCCCTGCCGTGCCCCAGCCCTGTGAGGCCACCCTGGCACTGGGTTGTGGTGGGGTCCCCCTGTGCCATGGGGACTGAGCCCGGGGAGCCCAGCGTCCCTGCGCAGCACGGGGGGACCCCGGGCAGAGCCCAGCTCTGGGGTCCTTCCCGAGGCTGGGGGATGCCAGGGCAGCTCTGCTGGGCTGTCCCTCGCTCTGGCAATACTGGTGGTGCTGGGGGAGTGAGGCAGCCACAGCCCCCACCCAGCTCTGCGGGCCCCAGCAGCCGCGCTGGCTCTGCCGGCAGCGCTGGCCTTGGGCAGCTGCTGCAGGCAGCAGAGGTGGCCCCGTGAGCCTCCCGACAGCCTTGGGCAGGGGCCAGGAGCTCCCGTTTGGAGCACAGCCGACAGCAGCAGCACCCTGGGACTGCCACCAGCCTGGCAGGGATCAGCCCTACGCCCACTGCCACACAGCCCTGTGGGGATGAACAGGGAGGGAAGCACCAGCCCTGGCCAGGCTGGGATGGCCTTGAACCGGCGCCCACCTGGGGACTCTTGAGCCACCCACGGTGGGGACAGGGGCAGCTGGGACCCCCGCCGTGCTGGCTCTGGGGACACCAGCTGAGGGACACGGGAGGGACAAGAGGTGGCCTAGGACACTTTATTCCTGTTCAGGACACAGAGAAGGGAGAGGGGACGGGGGCACCCCACCAGCCCCAAGCCCGCAGAGGCATTTTGGGGTGCAGGAAGAGGTCAGCAGTGCCTCCATCCCCTGGACCTGTGCTGACCAGGCCATCCTGCTGCCAGACCCCCTGCCCTGAGCACCCAGCGGTCGTGCTGGTCTCACAGGGAGCTGCTGTGACAGGAGGGGTCCCTGGCAGCCCCTCGGGACCTCCGCACGCCCTGGGCTACCCGCTGGGGCGGCAGGGAGGAGGCCGAGCAGCGGAAGGAGCCGGTGGCTGGGGAGGGAGGCTGGGCCAGGGGGCCGTGCCTGCACGGGCACCCCCAGCGCCCCCGGAGGGGGATGGTGAAGAGCCCGTAGGTGATGGGGTCCAGGCACGCGTTGAAGAGGCCAAAGATGAAGAGAATGTGGGTGAGGGCCGGTGAGATCCTCTTCTCCACGGCGCGGGGACAGAACCAGTGCCAGAGCCCCAGCAGGTAGTAGGGAGTCCAGCAGAGGATGAAGGAGGAGACGATGACCAGGCTCATCCGCAGCATCCGCAGCCGGGCCCGGGGGATGTTGTTCCTGGAGCACCGCAGCGACGCGTCCTGCGAGGAGACTGGAGGGGCACGGCCCGTGAGGGGAAGTGGGGCTGGGACGGGACCCCACGCCCTGGGGCAAAGCTGGGGGGTCCCTGCAGAGCTCCAGACAGGACTTCCCCTGGCCGTGGGGCTGTGTCCCGTGGTGCCTGGCACTCACAGAGGCCCGAGCCCATGCGGCGGGAGATCTCCAGCAGAATGCGGGCGTAGCAGCAGACCATGATGAGCAGAGGCAGCAGGAAGAGGCAGGCGAAGCCCACCATGTTGTAGAGGGTCTCGTGCCAGGCCCGGGGAAAGCTGCCGCGTGTGGTGCACTGGGTGAAGTTGTGCGGGGGGCGCAGGGTGATGGTGTGGAACAGGAACAGCTGCACACAAGAGAGGTGGGATGGGGGTGGTGGGGCTCTGCGCCTCCCGAGCCAGGGAGGGCACTGGGGGCCAAAGCAGGGACCCCCAGAGCCGCAGGGACAGAGCCAGCCTGGCAGGTGGGACCTGTCACCATCCCTGCACTGGCTCTGCTCCGCACTGGCAGCGGCCTGGGGGCACCCCCGGCAGCGGCAGAGCTGGGTGAGGGGGTCACCGACACAGCCTCTCTATTGCCAGCTCCCCGTGCCCACCCTGCAGGTCGCCGGGCGGGGTGGGGTCTGTCCCCAGCCCGGTGGGTACCTGCGGCACGGCCAGCCCCGCGCTCAGCACCCAGGCCACGTGCAGCATGGCGCGGTTGCGGGCGCGGGCGCGGGCGATGGCCAGCGGGCGCAGGATGGCGGCCTGCCGGTCCAGGCTGATGACCACGGTGACGAAGGCGGAGGCGTACATGGCCAGCAGGCGCAGGTACATGAGCAGGCGGCAGGCCAGGTCGCCCGCCCGCCACTGCAGCGTGATGTTCCAGACGGCGTCCAGCGGCATCACCGCCACGGTGACCAGCAGGTCGGCGGCGGCCAGGTGCCGCAGCAGCAGGCGGATGTGCGGGCGCCGGCCGCTGCCCCGGCCGCCCACCGCCCGCAGCACCGCCAGGTTGCAGCCGGCCGAGAGGGCGAAGAGGGCGAAGGTGACGGCCACGCGCACCTGGGCGGCCGGGGAGAAGGTGGGCAGCCGCAGGGGCTCCTCGCCCTTCTCCTCGGCGGGGCTCCAGGCGCAGCCCCACTCGGGGGGCGTCACGCCGGGGGGCTCCGCGCTGCTGTTTCCCACTGCAGGGCCTGGGTCTGGATGGCCCCTACCTGCCACAACAGGGAGAGGGGCAGTGGCAGCCCTGAGGCAGGGGCTCTGCGTGGGGCAGGCCACGCTCAGCACGGTGGGTCCTGTCCCCTAGAGCCCCCTGCCCAGGGCCACGGTGCTGACAGTGTGTTTCTGAGCTCGCTTCCCTGTGCTCCATCCCTGCCCGCTCGCTGCACCCTGCTGCTACCCCAGAGCCTCCAGCAGCCTCCAGAGCCCCTCCATGCCCCCAGAGCCACGGGGGTCCCTGGCACCAAGCAGGGCAGAGGAAGACAATGGCAGCTGGCCCCAGCACGCCACCCCCCTCAGGCCATTACTGCTGTGCCCCTCTCCCTGCCCAGAGTACCCCTCACCATCTTCCCGGGATGGTGACCCCACCCAGCCCAACAACAGCACCTGGAGGAGCAGACGCCCCGTTCCCCCGCCTCACCTGTGTCCAGGGTGTCCTGCCCGGCATTCCCCAGCCAGGCCATGGCAGGGCCGATGCTCACACAGTGCCGAGGCTCTGTGCTGAGGGCTCCTGCATCTGCTCGGGGGCACGAGGGGCAGGGGCAGCGGGGCAGGTACCGGGGCAGGTCCTGCAGAGAGGCAGCACCTGCTGCTGCAGCTGCAGCCGCTGTGCCGTGGGCGCCCTTGGCAGCTCTGAATGGTCCTTGACGTAGCCAGCAGCTCGGAACAGCACGGTCCTTCCCCTGCCACCCACAGCACATGGACACACACGTAAGCGTGCGTGTGCTCACACGCAGGAATGGACGCTGGGATGTGCCCCACATCTGTGGGAGGCAGCCCCCCAGCACAGGGGCACTGCCCGTGCCCCCCAGGTCTGGCAGTGCTGCTGCCAGGGCCAGGTATCAGACACACGGGGGCTCCTGGCATTGAGGTGCAGCATTTGGGGGCCCAGAGACCCACAGGTCTCTCCTGCCTCCCTGCGGCTGCCCGCTGCTCCCCCAGACTGTGGTCAGCCCCATGGCAGTGTCCCCGTGGCTGGAGGACGTGCCCAGGTCCCTTCAGCCCTGGCTGGAGAGCGGGGGCTGCAGGCCAGGGGGCTGCTTTACACCTCAAAGGCTTGTCTCCCGTTCTGTCACGCCCCTCCTCCGCCCCAGCAGAGGATATTAACCTCATTAGAGAGTCCTTTCACACTCCATGGGGTTCATTAACCTCCCGCCCTTCACCCCAGACCCCAGAGCTGGGAGGATACTCCCCTGACACATTAGCACATGGCTGCCAGGTCCCAACACCCTCCTGCTAATGGGGACCCCAGACTTCAGGGAGCCACCAAGGGGGCTGGGGGCACAGGGTCCCCATCACCAGCTCCTGGCAGGATCTCCAGCCTGTGGGCTCGGGCCCATACCCACACGGAGCTGGACTCCAAATCCGCCCATCTCACTCTGCACTGGGAGCTCCCAGGGGCCCAGAACTGCCAGGTGGGAAGGGTGGATCTGGAGGCTGCTGGGGAGCCTCAGCCCTTCCTGGCCGGGAATCAGGCCCCAGGGCCAGGGGAGCGTCTCTCTTGACACTGCCCTGGGTTGCTCTCCCAGCTGGTGCCTGGCTCCCCCAGAGCCCCCAGCCCAGCAGCCCAGCGAGGAGACCCCAGGCATGCCAAGCCCCATTCCGTGCCCAGCTCCTGGGACAGCCACACAGACACTCAGAGAGGGCACAAGGGTTTATTCACATCCAGCTCAGAGCAGCACGGCTCCCGGCACGGCCAGCACGGCTCCAGGCTCCCACGGGCAGCTTGTTCCTGCAGCTGTCCCGAGGGCCGCTGTGTCCCCGGGCTGCTGGGGTCCAGACGGGCATCGTGGGTGCTCCGGGCCTCACCCGGGTCAGTGCCGGGCCGGTGCAGGGAACAGAGCCTCCAGCAGCGAGAGCAGGTCTGCAGAGAGATCCTGGGGAGCAGACAGGGAGAGGGTGAGCGGCCAGCCAGAGCTGCAGGCAGGGCTGGGGGCATGGGAGTGACAGCCCACCCACTGGAAAGGCTCCTGGGCAGGGACAAGCAGGACAACGGGCTCCACTCTGTCCCCACTAATGGGATCCCCACAAACATGAGGGAGGGAAGCAGCAGGAAAGATGGAACCGGCTGGGGGCTCCACCTTAGCCACTCCCCAGAGCAGGGTTCACCTCTGCATTGCCTGCCCCAGACATGGCTGTTGTTACCCCAAAACCAGTTCCTGTGCTGCCCCACACGAAGAGGACTCTGAGGCCACCCCGAGGGGGGGCTGATCCCTGCCCCACGCCAGCCCCATGCTGAGAGTCACCCCAATCCCCCCCAGCACGTACCTGGGTGACTGTCCCTGTGCCCACGAACTCTGACAGCACCAGGCCCATGTCCAGGACATCACCAGGGAGCTCCGGGGGGGGCCCAGCCCCTGCAGAATGGGGAGGGGTCAGCCAGGGGGACGCAGTGGAGGTGACAGCCTTGTTCAGCTCTGAGGAGGTCCCCACTGCAGGCATGTAGGGGGCTGGCCCCCAGGTCTCCGTCTGGATGTTGGAAACGCCAAGAACCTCTGGAGGGGTCCCGGTTGCAGGGATGTAGGAGGGAGACCCCCAGGTCTCCATTCCGATGTTCAGACCCCCAAGCGCATCTGGGAGGGTCCCTGCAGCAGGGGTGTAGGGGGGGGATCCCCAGGTCTCTAACCCCATCTCCGGACCGCCAAGCACCTCTGGGGCAGTGCCCGCCGCGGCAGGGCTGCAGAGGGGCGAGCCCCAGGCCGCCGTCCCCACGCCGGGAGCCCCGTGCAGCTCCGGGGGGATCCCCGCCGTGGGAGGCGACCCCCAGCCCGCAGCGCCGGGCGGCGAAGCGGCGCGGGGCTGCGAGTCCCGGCAGCAGCCCAGGCCCCGCGGGCAGAGGGGACAGTGCCGGGGGGCCGGCGGCCCGCGGCCGAGCCCCAGCAGGGCGGAGAGGTGGGCGATGTAGCGGGTGGCGAGGCGCAGGGTCTCGATCTTGGTGAGGGTCTGGCCGGCGGGCGCCAGCGCGGGCGGCAGGTAGTGCCGCAGCCGCAGCAGGGCCTGCGCCAGCCGCCGCATCCGCAGCTTCTCCCGCTCGCTGGCGCTCTGCCGCGGGACCCCCGCCGCCCCGCCGCCCCGCAGCCCCTTCCTGCCCCGGGCCCGGGGGGCGGCGTGCCCGCGGCAGGGCCCCCGCGCCGCGGCGGGCGACGCGAGCCCGCAGGAGTCGGGCGATGCGGCGGGGGAGCTGCTGCTGTAGCCCAGCGGGTCCGGGGGAGCGCCGGGGCTCGGGGCGCGGAGGTCGGCCCGGTCCCGCGGCGGGGCGGCGGCGGGCAGCGTGCGGCCGTGGGCCATGGCGGAGCGGCGGCGGGAGCGCTGTGCCGGGCGCCGCCGCCGCCCCGGCTTTATGCCGGCCGGAGGTGCGAAGAGGCACCTTGGCGGCTGCAGCACTTCAAAGGCCGGGGGTCCGGGGGGGCCCGGGCCGCGGCTGTGAACGCGGGGTGACGAATTTCACCCCAGAGGTGTGAAGCCGCTCGGTGCTGCCCCTCGCCCCCGCGCGGGGCGGGGGCCGGGGCTGGGACCCACCCGGGAGCTGCAGCGGGGGCTCAGGAGCTGCAGCGGGGGCTGCAGCGCGCTCTGCACTGGGGGTGCCCCGGGGTGCCCCGGGGGTGTTGTGGGGCTCTGATGGGGCCCCAGTGCGGTTTGCAGTGGGTCTGCGGTGGCGCGTCCCTGCGGATCCCCGTGCAGCATGACCCGGACAGGAGCTGCCTCTGTGGCTCTGTGGGACACCCCCCGCCCGGTTTGGGGGTGCCGGTCTCCCACCGTCCCCTGACGGAGCCCGCGGGGCTGGCGGAGACAGGGGAGCCCCCACGGGCAGCCGGTGTGGAGGGCCGGGGCCGGGGCCGGGGCTGGGAGGAGCCCTCCCGCCGCGTTCCCAGGCCCGCAGGTGTCGGGGCCGGCGGGTGTGAAGGTTTCCCGGGAAACAGCCCCGCCGAGGCACGGAAAATCCATCAGGGAGCAAGGGGACACGGGCACGGCACGGCACGGGCCCCCAGAGCTGGAGTGCGCAGCCCGGCCTGGGGGCACCCGGGGGGCACAGGACCCCCGAAGTGGGTGTGCACAGCCCGCTGGTACTGCGGGGCGCAGGACCCCCCGAGCGGGGTGTGCGGACCCCTGGGAGCGTGAGGGGCACAGGATCCCCACAAAGCTGGGGGCACAGCTGAGGGGAAGCAGCCGGGGACAGGGACCCCCAAACCTTGTGCGCACGTCTGAGCAGTGCCCAGCACTGACCCAACCCACCCGAGGCCACCAGTGCCAACCCCGTTCCAGCAGCCAGCCCAGTCTGGGGCGCAGGGCTGTCTGAGGGGAGATCTGCACCCCACGGCCCGGGCCAGGCACGGCCCCTTCCCGCTGCCGGCCCCCTCCTGGCTCGCATTAGCTGATGAGCTCCCGGGTAATGAGTTCTGCACCCGCCGCAGCCGCTTCCCACCTCCCTGTTTGGACAAGTGCTGCACTGCGGCTGGGCCGGGGCAGCACTGGCCGCGGGGTCAGAGCCCCCGCAGGGTTGGGAAAATCTTTAATTCTAACAAAGAGTGTGTAAGTCTTGTGAATTCCTTTAGCTTCAGCCAGAACTGCTTTGTCCTGTATTCATGTGTGCAAGTGGTTATCTTGGCCTTAAAGACTGTGAGCCTGACCAACACTGGTAAGATCTATCTTGGCTAGACGACAGAGCCGGGATGAATTCAAAGAGAAGAAATTTTTTGATAATTTGAGGAATGGGGTGTTCCCCAAACAAGCACCAGAGACCCTCAAAGACCCGTATTCATATGTAAATAAGCTCCAAAAAGGGATATAAATATGCAAAGGAATTTGCGGGACTGTTTAGCATACATTTATCAGTTTTGGGAAATGTAATTAATAACTTACAAAGATTTAAGCTAGTCTCTTAGCCAGCTGTGGTATAGGTAATAGGAGATGTCCTCTGCACATCCAGCACTGAAATAAAGCTACTTTCTAATACTGAAATTACAGTGTTAAAGGGTTTGACTCCCAGCTTTTGGAGACAGCAGGACACCCTGCAGCCCCTCACCCCGGGAAGCAGGGTGGACTCCCCCATCCCTTCGGCCCCTACCAGTGGAGCAGGGCACGGGGCCATGAGGCAGCACAGCCAGGCACAGGACAGAGCTCAGTCAGTGCCCGGCTCCGTGCCCAGCTCAGTGCCCAGCTCAGGCTGTGCCCCCGGGAGCCCCCAGCCCTCCTGCCCTGCAGGGACCCCCCAGGACTCGTCCCTGCCCACGGGGGACCCGCGATCCCAGACCAGAGGCCTGTGTGGTTCCTGGGGCCACGCTTGTCCCTCTGTCCGGGATGGGCACCGCTCGCAGGGACGCTGCCTGGGGCTGTGTCTGCTGCGGGGGTCAGCGCTGTGGCAAACAGCCCCCTCGCCCCCTGCCCTCCCTCAGCCCATCTGCACGGGGCACCCCCTGCCCCGGCACCCTCAGGACCTTGGCACCCAGCACGGTGCACCCCAGTGCCCCGGGACCCCAACCCGCAGCAGCACAGGGACCCCCAGACGGAGCCGGGGCACAGCCTGGTGGGTCCCCAGATGCCTCAGCTTGTCTGCAGCCGTCCGGGGCTGCCTCCCTTCGGCCTGCGGGGACAGGAGCGGCACGGCCAGTGCCGGGATGCCCCAGGGAAGGGAGCCCCGGCCCCAGCCGGGCACCTGCACGCCGCGCAGCCCTGTCCCGGGCAGAGCTCACACAGCGCCCCGGGGCCGGGCGGAGCGCAGGGGGCTGCGGGCACTGCCGGGTGCCAGGCTGCGGCCCTGGCATTGGAAGGTCAAGTCCCGGCTGTGCGGGGAGCTGCGGTGCGGGGCGAGCCGGTACGGGCTGCGGGGCTGGCGGCACGTTAGCATCTCTCACGGCCGTGTGAATGGGTCCCCACACACTTCCCAGCGCCGGCAGGGCCAATTAAGGAGCGAAGGAGTCAGATCTGACACCTCTGCAAATGGGCCCGGCATTCCCAGGCTCCTGCCGCCCGCCCGGAGCGGGGCGAGGCTGGGGGAGCTCGATACCTCCAGGAGGGCGCAGAGGCATCGCCCCGCGCCCCCGGCCCGAATAAAGCCGGGGTTACCCCCGGACGCTCGCGGAACAGTCCCCACCCAGGGCCAGACTCAACACGGCAGCCCAGCTCCTTCGGCAGAGCCCCGCGTGCCCCCGGGCAGGAAGGGGTGCAGGGCAGGGGGTCCCTGCGGCACTACCTGCCCTCACCGAGACCGAGACCCTGCGCCTCGCCACCCGCTACACCGCCCACCTCTCCGCCTGCTGGGGCTCGGCCGCGGGCCGCCGGCCCCCCGGCACTGTCCCCTCTGGGGCCCGGGGTGCTGCCAGGACTCGGAGCCCCGCGGGGGTCGCCTCCCATGGCGGGGATCCCCCCGGAGCTGCGCGAGGATCCCCCCGGAGCTGCACGGGGTTCCCGGCGTGGGGACGGGGGCCTGGGGTCACCCCTCTGCAGCCCCACTGCGGCAGGCACTGCCCCAGAGGCACTTGGGGGTCCGGAGATGGATGTAGGGTCACCCCCCACACCCCTGCTGCAGGGATCCTCCTAGAGCTTCAGAGGAGCCCCAGGCACACCACCTGGAGCCTCCTCACAGACGTGGCACAGCCACGGGTAATAGGACACCTCCCTCCTGCTGCTTGGAACCTCCCAGGGCAGGACTGACGGACACGGGGCACCGCAGGATCCCTGCACCTGGGTCCCAGCTGCCCACACCTCACCAGGGACCCAAAGACTCTCCCTGGCCCAGCCCCTGCTCCTGCAGTCCCTGGGCTGGGGTGGAGCATGGTCCTCGTGGGGTGGGAGGCAAGGGGTGCAAGGTGGGGTGTCCCACAGCCCCTCACCTCACACAGCCCTTCCCACACAGCTCAGCAGCCCCTGGGCCCCAGCCAGGCTCATCTTCCCAGCTCCTGCTGCAGCCTCTCTCCTGCCCAGCTGCACCCCAGCAGCCGTGGGCTTGGAGCTGCCTGCACCCCTGGACGCAGAGCCCACACAGGCTCAGTGGCGTGGCCGTGGGGCAGTGGGACAGTGGCGTGGCCGTGGGGCAGTGGCGTGGCCATGCTGCAGAGCTGCACAGGATGGCACAGACACCAGGATCCTCACTAAAGCCACCCCGCAGAGCTGCTCCCCTGTTCCTCACTGTGGGACCTGCTGGCTGCACCTCAGCAGGGGCAGGGCTGGGAGTGCCCCTCAGGCTGGCACGGCACACGCAGGGCCAGCGCTGCCCGGGGCCAGCAGCACCGTGCCCGCTGCCAGCCCAGCCCCAGCCCGGCCATGTCCCAGGGCTGAGGCAGCAGAGGGACTCTCCACCTGGGCCGTCCCCCGCCCCACTGACCCCGGCTCCCACCTGCTGAGGGTCCCATCCCCGTGCCCAGGGCAGCTCCGTCCCTGCGGGGCGCAGGGTGCCCCTCGAGGGACGGTCCCTCCAGCTGTCCCAGCCTGCAGCCCCTGCCCGGAGCAGCGCAGGCAGAGGGTCCCGTGCCAGTGCCCCTGAGCAGGCCCAGCAGGAGAGCTCGCACGCAGCTGTCAGACAGAGGGGCCGGGGGCTGGCGTCAGCAGAGCCCCCAGAGCCACTTAGCACCAGGCTCCTAACAGCCGGGGGCTCACAGCCCCGGGCTGCCCCGGCTGCAGGCCCTGGCGCTTCCTACCCGGCATGTCACGGCCCCACAGCGCGGCCCCAGCACGCCCTGGAAACGGGGCAGGATTTTATTTACAGCGCAGAGCACAGCAGCCCGACCTCCCCAGCCAAGCCCCCGAGTTCCCAATGCCCATCATGCAGGGTCAGCCCCTCGCTGGCAGTGCGGGGGCATGGAGTGAGTGGTCGGCCGTGGCAGCGGGTCCGGGCCTGAGGGAGTCGGGAGAGGCCGAGGGCCCGTCCTGGTGGCCAGGGAAGTGCAGGCTCCTGTTATCTGCTCTTGATCTCGTTCTCAAACCAGTCCAGCACCGTGGCCTGGTTCTCCTTCACCCAGATGATGTTAGCGCGGGTCCGCTCCAGCGCCTGCTCCAGCGCCCGTGTCCCCGACCCAAACCCGATGTCCTGGTTGTCCTTCTTGAACTGCTCCAGCTGCCAGGCAGAGATGGGGCTGGAGCAGGCAGGGCACGGGCCCGGCAACCCCTGGCACATCCCAGCAGCTCCCAGCACCGCTGGACCTCCCCAGGAACACCCCTGTGAGCACTCCAGCACCACCCCAGCATCTCCCAGCTGCTCCCTGGCCAGACACCAACAGCCCCCAGGAGCACCCCAATAGCCTCTGTGAGCCCCTAGCACCACTCCAGCAGCCCCCAACACCACCCAACATCAT